CATAACTTTTAACTCGGATAGTCGAATGAGGTAATTCTTTTTTCGATTCTACATAACTTTTCGAGATCTACGCAATGACATCTCATTTGATATATTTTATCTCTCATAAACACAATTCAAATTTGCAATAATTGTATTATATAGTGTATTACGAAAAAAAATTAAAAAATTATTATTAATAAGAAAAACAAAATAAAGATTTAATTTGTGATTTAAACTCAAAAATCAATTTGAAAAATATGTATTAATAAAGAAAATAATTAAATAAATATTTCAAACACTTGGTAGAATATTATATAAATTTGTATATATTTTAATAATTAATTACTAATAAGTTGCCGTCTTGAATCTAATTACGAATATATTGCACTCATTCACGTCCAATAATGGTACTATAACATTAAATTCAAAATTCAAATAACCTCCAATAAGTTGATTGCATTTTGTATTTAATAGGAGTTGATTGTGTTTTTGTATTTAATAGGAGCTGATTGCGTTGTAATTTTATGAGTTGGTTACAGATTGTCGCCAATTTAAATAAATTTGCTGGAGGTTATTTGAATTTTGAATTTAATGTTATAGGAGTTGATTGCTTTTTGTATTTAATAGGAGCTGATTGTGTTTTGTATTTAATAAAAAATGTGGTACCATCTTTTTTATAGATGAGTTAATCCACTTTGGTATCATCTTTATAGTATCATTGTTGCAAATTTTAATTGTGTTTGTGAGAGATAAGATATATCAAATGAGATGTCGTTGCATAGATCTCGAAAAGTTATGTGGAATCAAAAAAAGAATTACCTCATTCGGATACCCGAGTCAAAAGTTAGGGCTTATAAAGTTTTACGGTTAAACTATTAATTTTTTGTGCCACGTGTCAACATCAGAAGAGTCACGCCTAATTTAGACATGGATGCCTTGGGAGTCACGCCTAATTTGGGCGTGAATAGTCACGCTTAATTTGGGCGTGAATGAGTGCAATAAATTCGTAGATAGTTTTAAAACATCTATGTATTCGTAATTATTTATTAAAATAGTAATATTTTAATTTTTTTGCCGTTGAATGTTTCATATCAAAAAAGTACTTAATTATTTTAACAAAAATATATTTTTTATACATAAAAAATGCTTTTTTATTATTATTAATAGGAAAATGTATGTTTTATTCTTTTAAAGGATCTAAGTTATTAGGGTTGGGTAACTCCAAAAAAAGGACCTAAGTTATGTCCTTTCATCCCCGTATAACTATGTACTACAGAAAGTATATAATTATAATGTTAAAATTATACTTTTTTTTTTTTTTTTACTTTTCACGTCAGTCAACAATTTCTGAAGAAGGTAAAATAACATAACTTCGATCCTTTAAAATAACCAGCACTATTTTCCCATAATGTTTTCCTGTAAAGGCTTTTACTCTATTTATATTAAGGTAGACCACCTGCTTTGAGTTTTTTTTTTTTTGCTTTGATGTTATGCCAAATACTTTTTTCAACCTTCAATTAATTAGGAATAAAGAAACACGTAAAAAGAGTTGCAAAAGAAAAAATTGAATAAAATAACAAAAATGAAATGAAATTTTGTTGAGTCCATAAAAAATTTGGAGTTATTACCTGTGGTACATTGTGGGTTGGGATATTTCGGGAAGAATGAAGTACATATATTGTTGTGGTTGATATTTTATATTTTTCTTTTATAGCGATTTTTTTGTTTAGTATAAATGAACTGGTACCCGATCACCAACAGGCGCCAACTAATCTAAATTTGAAATGGGTAGAACCAAGAAGGTGATAAAACTCTTCCTACTAAATTTTTAACACAATTGCGAATCCAGGGCTCGAACTTAAGATCATTGATTAAGTTGGAACAACCTATGTGTTAGTTAATCCACGTGCTTGATGGTTTTTTTTTTTTGAGTTGATGGGTGGGAGATAAGTGTTCTTTAATTTGATAACTACTAGGATTAATAATCTACTAATATTATAAAAGTATTATTTTATATATTTAATAATAAAAAATAAAAATTTAGGGAGGGGCGGCCACAAACTAGCCCTTCCATGTGTCTTTGCCCTTGGTTTTGGTGCATATGTAGTGATTTTTTATATTCTCTTTTCTTCGTAAAATTAGAATCAGAGAGAAAGTGAGAGTATTATGAATGAGAGGGAAAGTAAAAATATATCAAAACACTGTAAATTTATTTAAAATAACACAAACTTGTGTCCTTTAAAATGACAAATATTTTTTTTCAAACATTATATTAATATTTATAAAGAATCCTTTGGAAAGGAATAAATTTTAATCAAACCCTTCAAAAAAATAAAAAGTGATAGAATATTATGCCTATCTTTTTTTATATTTACTTTATCTATATCTCTCCATAATCGTTAAATCACAATCTCAAATAACAATAAAAGGAAAGAGAAAGTATGAATGTCGGTTGAGATTGTAATATAATGGTATTCGAGAGAAGTAGATAAAGTTGATATAAAAAAATATAGAGATAATATTCAATCCCAATAAAAATTAATAAAGTTGTTTTTTTAGTGTTTGTTATATGACATTACAAATACTTTTATTTGTAAAATAATATTTTTTATTTTTTTCCCCATTATAAAAAGTTATAGATTCGCCATTGACCAAAATGTTGTAGTTTCACTTATGTACTTTAAAATTATAAACATTTTCCCTTTTTATCTTATACACATTAAGTATTAAATTAAGTATGTATATTTATATATAAAACTATTAAATTAAGTATGAAGTAGCTAATTAACAACTGTGTGTGGTGTTTTCTTTATTGCTATCCTTTAAGAAAACTAATTATATCACGGCAATCTTCCATAGCAATTGTTTCCTTCGCCAACGACAATATTTTAAGAAAAGAGTGATTGCATGACGAATCTAAATCAAATGACTTTTTTTTTTTTGTACATAATCAATGGACTTTTTAAAAATATGTAAAACAACTCTAATATCGTGCCATGTGTTTACTTTTTTTTTTCAATTTTTCGGTAATGAATAGCTATTCTTTTATAAGAATCAACTTTCCTTTTTTTTGGAAAAGGAATAAAGAATTGACTTTATTTTGAGTCAGTTATTCAAGTGGGGGGAGAGGCATGTGAATATGTGGTGCTCATTCAAAATACCGTCATTTTCACCCTTTTATCTCGTACTTTGTTTCAAGATGCTGATGAACTCATAGTAATAGACATCCCAATTAAAAGACATGCTATTGGTGGCCAAACACCACCTGTCAGGTTTACATTTGAGAATTCCTATTTTTATCGTATAGTTAACCCCTTTACAATAATATACCTTTTCTAACATAGTATTTGTTTGATTGATTTGATACATTAGGCGAAGGGTAAATGAAAATTCCTAAAATTCTGTCTTTTTTTCATTTCTGCTAGTATATGAGCATGTGAATTTCAGAGATAGTTTTTTTATTTTTTATTTCGTTTTCATTTGTACGTGATATTTAAAAATAAAATAAAATCTGAAAATATTATTATTATCATTCCAATTACAGTCATTATATGTAGGGAAAGCATTTATCATGTTGTATGAGAAGTATTTTCTTATGTTATGACCCTTTGATTTGTGTGCAAATTTTTTTATTAATAAGTGTGGAACTCACTGTTACTTGAGTCACAATATGAAAAAATAATTGTCATATAACATGAGAAAATCAAAACCCTTGTTTGTATGTATGAATTTATTTTATACATACTGACACACAAAAATGATAAGACCGCCATAGTTAAAAAAAATAAAAAATTGCATGACTTTTGATAGTGTGTGCAGGAAACATTTTTTGTCTCAAGTAATAGGAGACTATATTTTACCTTAAAAATAATCATTGCTTTTTTTGTTGCCAAAACAATCACGTTTTAATAATTCAGTAAGGAAAATATCAGTCTCATACAATATGAGATAAAAAGAATTTCCAGCTGACTCAAAAAAAGTGGGACACATTCAATTTTTTCCCTTTTTTCTTGTATAGTATAGGATCTATGATATTTGTGTCTCTGCAATAGAAGATCATTTGTTTCCTGATGTACAAGAAAATATGCTCCCGTTCTCTGTAAAGAATGCTCGCAAGCACTAGTTGAAAGAGACAATTTATAACACTTCAAGTGTGCATGTGTTTTTTTTTCTTTCTCCCTTATAAGGTTTTTTCTTTTTCTTTTCTTTTATTTTTATTTTTATTCTTGAGTGTGAGACTAAATCTCTTACTTGCAATATTATAATTATCCCTCTAAAAGAAATGTTGAACACCTAATATTGTATAGCCCTTCAACTTTTTGAGGTTGTAACCTCACTGTTCTATAACTAATTTTGCAAACCTATTTTGCAGCAACAAAATGTGGAGATATTTTGAACACAGACAACATACAAAAAATGTTATTTACTATAAAGGACTCAAATAGTTGTTTAGTTTTTTTTATTTAATAGTTAATTTAGATTCTTTGTTAATGTAATTTCTTTAAAAAAAATTAATTTTATATTAATTTTAATCATGTGTTATCACATGCATTATTAAAAGGTTTATTCAGAGAGAATTTTAAATATATCAGGGTAAGGCAATTTTCTTACATTTTAGCATTATATGTATGTCACATCTATTGAATACAGGAGTTACGTCATTTTATACTAATGTAAGGTACATTCTCGTGATGATTGATTCCATTTATATCCAATAATTTTAATTTATTAATTATATGAGTTATTTGATACAAATAGATCAATGACTAACAATAAACATAAGACTTCTTGTTGATACATTAGGGTAAGAATAATCTGCCCTAAATACAATCCATATAATTAATGTGACACATACTGAATAATACATGGGATAATAATTGATTTAAATTTGATATGTAAAAAATGTTTATTAATGAAATAATAATGAGTTTATATTGAAGAAAACCACTAATTCTGCATGCTCTTCTCTATAAAAAAAAGGCTATACTCTGAATCAAACATGAAACTCGGAAAAGAATCAAGCTTTCAAATTCTTCTACTTATTACCAACTTTCACCCGATCCACTCTCTGATCCTCATGCATCACGAACTAACGGGCTCTTACAACATTCCACAAGGAAAAAAGGGTCATGATGAATCATCTGCAATGATTTCTACAGAGTTATCACTAAGTCCAAGCAGCTTCCAAAGCAAAAAAAGGAAGCATATTGGTGGTGCAAGCAGAACCCAATGTTCTAGTGCTTCAAAGAGAAACAGAAAGAAGACATCATCAGCATGTTGCAACAATAATAATGAGAGGCAGTACAATTGGGGGTGTTCAACATCATTGGAGCTTTATGATAACCCATGGAAGATCAAGAAAGCCTTAACATCAAGTGATCTTGGGAAACTGAATAGGCTCTTGTTTGGGGAAGATTTGCTTGAAAACTTAATGGTTCCTGTACTTGGTGTTGATGCTCAAAGAGAAGCTGAAAATGGAATGGGAACCCCAATTAGGGTTTGGGATGTTGACACCATGTCCATGCACCACTTGATTCTCAAGCGTTGGGCTTCTTTCAAGAACTATGTTTTGATTGGGAAATGGAATCCAGATTTTGTGAAGAGAAGGGAGTTGAAGAAAGGAGATGAAATTGGATTTCAATGGGATTCTTATAAACACTGCTTTAACTTCTCAGTGCTTAATCGAACTCAGTAGTGACTATAGCAACTCTACCTTTGTGATGAATAATCAGCTCTCTGGTAATAGAAATCATGTAAAATATATATTGCTTACGACGATTATTGTAATAGCTGCATGTTATTATATCCTAAGCTTTCGTTTTTTTTTTTTTTAATTTTATTATCGTTCTTAGAATCAATAAATGTAGAAGATAAGAATATAATGATAAAGTTAAGAGTTCAAATGTCACAATTTTAAGTTGATTTGGGGTACTGTGCATATTATGGACTTTGAATCCATGAATCTACATACATAATCTATAAGGGTTAAACACCAAAAGGAAACCACTATATCCTCGCTGACGAGCATAGTTAGAACTCCTTTTCTCGCCCAATCTTGAAGCCATTTCCATACCAAGTGGGTCCGACATCATATCTCAGTCTAAAGCCATGAAACAAAATCAGTGATCAATGACCTAAGTCATCTGCTTTAATCCAATAAACCAGCCTTTAAGGTTCCTCAACGCCACCAACGTGCAAGTTCCACTCCACGAGAACCCTGCAAACGTTGGACCCTCAACCAAAGGCTCAACTTCACCACTTTTGTTTCATTCCTCAACAGACAAGTTTAGCCCCCTTGCCAATCATGTTGAGTTCGTGGGTCCACCTCTTTCCAACCATTTTGGCCTGGGTTTTTTTTTTTTTTTTGATAGTTTGGATTTGGATCTTTGAATAACTAATACATATTCGTGTTTTTAAACCTATTTATATTTATTCTGTTTGATTTCTCCCGTGGTTCATCAATTAATTGATTACTTTGGTGGTCGATTTATTACTATAACACAATTATTTTTTGAAAAACCTATAATGATATTGATTTCTTCATTGCACGTGTAAAAGTACGTATGTAGGCACTCATGGCAAGATAAAATCGTAATTAATTTTAATTTAGTGTCTTTACTTGTTTTTGTGTTATTTCCTATATATCGATATTGGGTAGGTCATACTTACAATATATTTTCTTTTATAATTTCTTACAACCATTTTCTTTATCGTTGGATCAAAATCAAATCAACAATTATAAAATAGCATCAAGTGAGAGCCGTTGATTTGATTTTGATCATCCAACATTAAAAAAAGTGGTTCTAAGAGGTTTTAAGTACAACCTCCTTTTATTGATACAAGGGATAAAATAAATATTTAGAGTAAGCATATATTTGTGGTCTCTATATACCTTAGGGTTCATCATACAAGAACACATTAGAATCTTAGGAATTCATGAATTTCACATATATTAGGGTTAAGGGTACTAACTTTTATCCATGACAGTAGAAAATTCTTTGAACTTCAAAAGTCCTTTGATAATTGATATTTTCTTTTCAGAGTCTTGACCATTTCCTTCTGATATCCTCTTGTGATAGGAATGAGATATAATGGTTCTATGTTTTCTATATCCTTCAGAAAACACGAGTCACTTTTTCTTCCAACAACTGCACCAATCAACAATTATTTTATCCTTGATAACTTCTCACATCCATCACCAAAATTACCTTTTAGCCCTTAATTTTTTTTATTAAATCACACATTAATTCTCATAAACATGAGAAATTTTTAACATTTACACGAGTATTTCACAGTCAATTTTAAGGTAAGAATTGTTTTTGAGATGTATATACCTTACAGACTATAGTTGAGTTAATGTTGAATTCAACATCTGTAAATGCATAACATGCGATGGGAAAAGTCTTAACTTGTTTTTTGGGTCATGTTGGTTCTAATCTAAGTATATCATATTTCTTTTCGCCAATACTCCTCCAAACTCAAATACGAAGATTTTAAGGGATCTACGTAAGAAATCATAAAATAGGATTATATGAAATTAGAACACCAAAACATGTAGGCTTACTTGTTGAAGATATGATTCTTGATTTCTTGAAAGGTGCTTCTTGCTTGCTCAGATGTTTCTGCAAAGTTCGAAAGACCAGGATCTTCTTCTTAATGGGCTCTATATTGCATCCTCATATAGATCATGACTTAACCCATTTTTGTTAAAACCAGAAAAAGTTGCAATTGATTGAAGCCTATAATAATAAAAAAAATTCTAACATTCTCCCACTTGGCCAAAATCAATTATAAAATTTTAATAATAAAAAAAAGAAGAAAAAAGTTATTTGAAAATGACTCTCGGGCTAAGGACTAATTTTTATAATGTGGCCAAATTTCAAGAAAACACATGATCCAAGATGCGAGATCTGAATATGACTTCATCCAACTAAAGTCAAACAACAACGAAACAGACAGTGAGTACATCCTTAATTGAGATAAGACCTTCCATGGTTATAATGTCATTTGACTTTGTCGACTAGTCATTAGTGTGGAGTATAGCAAGAACATAGCATACTAATATGATCCAACAACAGCCAAACTATTATTTTCTTTGTCAGTCCTCAAATTTCTCTAAAATGCCTTAAAGCCAGAGAAATTTCATGGTTTATCAAAAAAAATCATCATACAACAAATTATGGTGTCGACCACGGGCCTAATGGTTCCAAAAACATTGAGTTCCAAAATCTTATTATCATGCCTCAAACTCCAATGTAGTGTCAACCACAGGCAAGGTGGTACTGACGACATTAAGTTCTAAAATCTCATTGTCATGCCCCAAACTTCACTATAGTGTCAACCACAGGCATAGTGGTCCCAACGACACTGAGTTTCAATATTTCACAATTGATAAACACAAAAGCAAATATGCAAAATATACAATAACAAAATTCAATGCATTATCAAATATTCTATAAGAAATTTGTATATCAACCAAATATCAATTATGTTAGTAATAAACAATTCAACATGATAAGTAAATAACAAAGAACTCAAACTCCCATTAACTGAGCACATCAAAACAACTCAAAATGCTCATGTTCTTCACATGCATTTTAAATATCACGGGCAAAAGTCCTTCGATTAGAGGGTCAATCAATATACTTAACAATTAAGTCATTCACAAAACAAATAATTAAATAAAATTCATAGCCAATAACTTGAGAGTTTAACATCTAATCCAAAAAGGGTATAAAATGCAAAATCCTTTTTAAAGAGACCTTACATAAAGTTCATTTCAAAATAAACTCATATCTCAACGTCAAAAACTAAGAAAATATCTCTCACTGACTCCACAATAACTTCAAGATCACACAAAATCAATTATATCTCTCCACTAAAGAAAATATCAAGTATACTCTCCACATCAACTATAGGCTAACTTTAACGCAATGCCTTGTCATGATCAAAATTTATAAAGAAAAATATAGATCTCATCTATATTTATTATCATTCCATCCAATCAACAATTCTATTATGAGATTGTTATTATTTATATCAAAAGTGTATTTATTACATTAAGTGTAATTATATTAATTATGGGCAATAAAGTAACTTTATGGAAATAATTAACATATTATAAACTCTCCTTAGGGAAGAGTATATAATACACAATTATTTCACATTATTTATAATTTAATCTCCATTTTTGTTTCAAGGATTACTGCATACAATAATCCTCTTTGGACAGGTAATTGCAAATGATAGGTTTTGTCAATAAAGAACTCTAACAATTCACAAATAATGTTCTGAATAATTATGCCCAAATAATATGAAAAACCTTATAACATGTGTTTTCAAAATTAATATTGCGCTAACTAAACTATAATTTATGCCACAAATTCCAATCCCTAATATCAACAATTATATATCTTAGCTCACTAATCAAATTTAATTGATAGAGTACAAAAAATCTATGTTATATTAAGGAGAATAAGTACTAACATTATAATCACCATAATTTGTAATAATTTTTCATTAATCAAAATTTGGAAAAAAAAAGAACATAAATATTTATAAGTGTCAAAAAATTATATAAGTATTTCAAGAACACTAAACAAGAAATTATCTAAACACATTTACAAATTGATTCAATAAAAAAGTACAATATGAAGGCAAAATAAGAATGCCTTTGAAGAAACTACATGGCAATATATATACAGGTTCAATCAAAACAAGCTATCATAATGAGGTCAACATGATAGTACATTTCTCTTTGGGCAGAAAGCACAAACCAAGATTAGAACATCAAATGAGTTAGTCATCCTGAGCAAAACATTGGATTTGAAAATCCATCCCCATTGGGCGCAGATAGATCCCAGACCAACAAGCCTCCAATAACTTCATCTACAACCTTAAGTAAATGTTGCTCAGGATGAGTTAATAATTAAGCACAGTAGGTTGTCATAATAAGGCCAACATAATAGTACACTCTCCTTTGGACAGAATGCACAAACCAAGGTCTGAACCTCAGATGAGTTAATAAATGAGTATAACATTGGGTTTGAAAATTCATCCGCTTTGAGCAGATAGATCCCTAGACCAATAAACCTCTAAAAACTTCATCTACAACCTTAAGGAAAAGTTGCTATGTGAAAATACATGGGTTTTAGAGATTTATCCTCTTTAGGTAGATAGATCACCTAGACCAATGCACCTCCATTAACTTCATCCTAAACAAGTTCATAATTATAACACACAATTATCCCCTTTTGGCAAAAATTGCTTAAAATAACCAAAATCATTCCTTAAATTTTTCAAAGAAATTTTCACAAAACAATATCACTTTGATTGTCTACAATGTTATATGGAGCTGAATGTTGGCAAGCACATAGGCAACATGAGCATAAAATGGGAGTAGCGAAAATGAGAATGTTAAGGTGGATGTGTGGTTATACGAGGATAGATAAGATAGGAAATGAAAATATTCGACAAAAGGTGGGAGTAGTAGCGATGGCGGAAAAGATGAGAGAACATAGATTGAGATGATTTGGACACGTAATGACAAGGTCGTTGGATGCTCTCATAAGAACAAAGGTTTGTTACCAAGAGCTTGACATAAAAAGAGGTAGAGGTAGACCGAAACATACTTGGAGGAAGGTAGTAAAACAAGACTTAATGAAGTGAGATATAAATTGACGAACAATGTGTTTTGAGAAGGAATGGAGAAAAACTATAAGCAAGTGGAGGGATAGACCTGTTTTTATTCTTATGTTCCAAACGGTCCCG